CGTCTGGGCTCAGCCCTCTGGTCAGTTCTTTACCCAGTAAAGAGTGCACCTCTCCAAGTGCAACTGTCCATGCCGCTTTCCCCAGGACAATACTGTGGAGACAGTGTGAAAGGCTTTGCTGAAGTTCAGGTAGACTACATCAACAGCCTTCCCCTCATTTGCCAGGAGGGTCACTCGGTCACAGAAGGAGACCAGGTTGGTGAAGCAGGACCTGTCTGTCAGTGGAAGTAATTTTCAAAACATTCTGCATTTTATGTGTGTGCAGATGCAGCTTGTAAGTGTATAATCCTAACAACACAGCTATCCAAGATGTGGTTTATCAAAACTGGGCCTAATAAACGCTTCTCCTCCTTTATGCCTTTTAGCTTACTTGCTGCAATGGCATTCAGCACTCTCCAAAACATAGAAAATGTTCTTCTATTTAGAATAGGAAGAAAATGTTAAGATTTTTGCATTTTAATTTAACTCAGTTTTCTGTGTTGGGAGTCCTTAACTGGGTCTAATTCAAATACAGGGCTGAATACTCATATGTTTGAGGAATTTCTACAAGTTTTGGATGCTATTTGATTTCCTGACTTTATACAACACAAAGACACAATTTACTTTGTGTTATTTCAACCGCTCTTTGGAGTAACTGTCTCATTTTTTTGAGTCATTACTCTTTTCCGTTATCACAGAACCACAGAGTGGTTTGGGTTGGAAGGGACCTTAAAGATCATCTAGTTCCAAGCCGCTGCTATAGGCAGGGACACCTCCCAGTAGACCAGGCTGCTCTCAGCCCCATCCAGCCTGGCCTTGAACGTCTTCAGGGAGAAGCATCCACAACCACTCTGGGCGATCTGTTCCAGTGCGTCACAGTAAGAATTTCTCACAGTAAAGAATTTCTTCCTAATACCTAATCCAAATCTACCCTCTTCCAGTTTAAAGCATATAAAAGAGAGGGAACAGCTGTTTAGAAGGGTGGATAGTGATAGGACAATGGGGAATGGTTTTAAACAGAGATAGGGGAGGTTTAGGTTAGATATTAGGAGGAAGTTTTTCACACAGAGTGGTGATGTACTGGAATATGTTGCCCAAGGAGGTTGTGGATGCTCCATCCCTGGAGGCATTCAAGGCCAGGCTGGATGTGGCTCTGGGCAGCCTGGTCTGGTGGTTGGCGACCCTGCACATAGCAGGGGGGTTGAAACTAGATGATCATTGTTGTCCTTTTCATCCCAGGCCATTCTATGATTCTATGATATAAAGTCCCTCTCCAGCTTTCCTGTAGGCCCCCTTCAGGTACTGGAAGGCAGCTATAAGGTACTTCGGAGTCTTCTCCAGGCTGAAGAGCCCCAGCTCTTTCAGCCTCTCCCCATAGGAGAGGTGCTTCAGCCTCTGATCACCTTTGTGGCCCTCCTCTAGACCTGCTCCAACAGCTCCATATCCTTCTTGTGTTGGGGGCCCCAGAACTGAAAACAGTACTCCAGGTGGGGGTCTCACAAGAGCAGTGTAGAGGGCCAGAATCACCTCCCTCTCCCTGGTGGTCACATTTCTCTCAATGCAACCCAGGATACAGATGGCCTTCAGGGTGGCAAACGCACATTGCCAGCTCATGTTGAATCTCTCATCACCTGACAACCCCAAATCCCTCTCCTCAGAGCTGCTCTCAAACCATTCTCTAAATTCACTTATTGTTTTGTTTAAAATTTTGAATCATTCTTCCCTTCTAAAGGAGAGTATTTGACACAGTGCAATTCACATTTCACACTTGGAACAAAATTCCTCTCCAGCTTTTGGACATTACTGCATTTAACTGTATTTTTTTGGTTTTGGAATATCTGTTACTCTTCTGTAAGTAAATGCATGTGTGTCAAGCACACAATTAACTGATTAAAGATCAAAAGATTGAGTAACAGGTGTAGTATGGCTTGGATGCCACTAATTGGGCCCATTACAGAATAAAATATTTAATTTGATCCATTGGTTGTTCTGCTATTATGAATATTAGAGTCAATAATATGAATCTACTAGGAAAAAAAAAAAGAATTCAAAATCCATTAGCTTTTAAGGAAGCATTGACATGAAAGCAGTATGTTTACAACAAATGAAACAATTTCAAGTGAGAATGAGAGACTATTTGCTAATTTTGATGACAGCGCACCCCAACTGCAGTCATCTCCCAGACAACATTTGCCTCTTTCTAAAAATAAAAATTAATAATACAAATACATAATCAGTGCTTTCTTTTTATTGTTTCCTCAGTAGGGGTTGACATGCAAGTAAATCTTTAAAATTTCTGCTGAATGTCTTCTTGTTACAACGTCAGACTGTAAAAAAGCAGTCTAAATACCACAGACATTAGAATAACCACAACTTTCCATTACAAACAGAATTATCTCTAAAGCAGGGCTTAAAAACAGGGCTTAAAGTAGATCGATGGAATGCAAAATGTAATGAATAATATAAAGAAGCATAATCAGTTGAGTTGTGTGGTAAAAGGCAGGAGGTAACTTCTTCTGCGGTAAGATTTAAATTGTAAAAAAAAAAAAGTATTTATACATAGTGCAAAACTTACCTGCAGGAAATGTACCTGAAAGAAGTGAACCAAAATCCAGGCGGTTCCAGAAAAAGCTAACATTTTACATCAGGAATCAGAACATTTAAAATTACTCTGCAGACTTCGACGCGTTGCATAGAAGTATAATCCACCCACAAATGGGACTGACAGACTCCCTTATGGGTCAGATACTAAGTGCTTAATAAGGTGCTAAATGACATTGCTGGATGTTCTGAGTCTACGTGCAAAGCCCAATGCTTTATGTGCTGCACGAGCTAATGGAAGTGCACAACAGCTCCTACTGTTGAAAATACACTATTTCACAGCTGTCAGCCTAGTGTTAATTTCCAGTGATAAGTGTGAATTGTCCACTATGAGAGCAGGGATAGGAAACGAAAGCAGCCGGACCTGCTAGTCAAATATATGTTCTGAACATTGTTCTGTTTGCTAAGTCATTGTTAAGGTAACCTTTCAATGTAAAGTCTCCGGTCCTCATAGTATGAACTCGTACTGCAGCATTTTCTTACCATGGGACACACTGAGCAGCCCGTTTCCATGAAAGAAAACTGTAGAAACTTGTTTAACTTCAATTCTGCTGTTCTTTCATTGTGGTTGACAGAAAACTAGCAATAGCACCAGAGGAAATTATCAAAATTCTCATATCCCTTAGAACAGAAATGAAATCAAGAGTGCAGGCAGGACCCATTTGCCAAGCTGAGAAGAGGAATCCAAGAAGCCATGAGATATCTAAGTCCAGCAGGCAGGGAGGGCACCTTTATGATTAGAGGGTTCCTGGGATGGGGAGCAGCTAAGTTTGGGCAAATTCCTAGGAATTTGCTAGGAGAGGGAGGAGGGCAACAAGATGGAGGGAATAGGACAAATGCACCAGCAATCATGGGGTGTACAGAATGACCAACAACAGGTGTCCTTTACTCATATATCACATGGGCAGGACAACTATGAGTCAGAGGCACAGACACTTACAGTATGTAGTTTCCTGGGCAGCAGATGGCTTGTCTGGCTGTAGCCTGGCAGCAGCTAATAAAGACATCCAGTTACTATTGGAAAAACATCCACAGGCAGTGTTAGCCTTTTTTCAAGAGGCAACAGTTTTCAGTATCATTATTTTAGGATTAATCCTTGATTTTGGATGATTTTGGATGGCTGACTTGCTTTCAAATGCTCAGGACTGACACCTCCATGGTGTTTTTCATACATGCCATTTTTCATACATGGGCATAGCTTTTGTCTTTTTTTTTTTTTTTTCCTTTTGCAAGTCTTGTGACAGACGGATGTGATCACGGTGACACCTGTTGATGCTGATGCAAGACTCAGAAGGCCTGGTCTTTGCAACTTCAAGTTTGCACCCTCATCTGTTTCCTTCCATTTTTCCCCCAGCTGCGTGAGGTAATGGAACTTTTACTCAAGAACCTGAGGCTCACAGACAGAGCATTTCCTCGTGTGCCAGGCTGGGAGCACAGGGCAGGGGCAGCCCCAGAACTGCCTGACCCCTGAGGTGTGTTGGGGCACCTGCCTTCCCCCACTTGTGATCTCACCCTGAGAATCTCGCTCCCCAGTTCCTCCATTGCCACTGCTTCCCTGCGCTGGAAAGACTCTTCTTTATTTAAATGCCCATATGCTGTAAGGCAAACGTCCCATAAACACCTCTACACCACTCAGCTCTAGGACTCCATATCCCACAAAACAGGAACGAATTATTTCACACACTGAAGTCCTTGTTCCTGCTGACTCATGCTTGTTCTGACCCTCAGTTATTTGTCTTGGGTGTACGCAGACCTACTTATGGAGGGAGGGCCGCCTTCTCTCGACCCAAACTTTCCCACGTGAAAGCGCTTTTGGAGGCGGCCGGCACGGCGCACGGCGGAGGAGAGGAGCCGAGGCGGCCCGCCCCGGGAGCTCCCTCCCCCGTCTGCGGGAAGCCATGTGACGGCGCGACTTCTGCCTCGAAGCCTGACGAGGGAAGCGGCGGCGCGGAAATTTCGCTCCGCTCTCTTTGAGGTCACCTCAGGTACAGCCGCGGGACGAGCGGCGCCGGACGGTGCCCGAGGTGGCGGCCACCTTCGCGCCCCGCTCCTGACAGAGCCGCGCCGGGCGCGAGCTCCTCGCTGAGGTACGGGCAAGACGCGCGCCGCCGCCCCGCCCACGGAGGCGACCGTTACCGGCTCTCCGCACCCGGCCCGGCTCAGGGCGGCTCCCTCAGGCCGGGCCCGCCGCGCTCCTTCCGCCCGCGGCCCCACATGCTGCGGAGCCGCCCCGCCGCGATGCCGCCGCCCAGGAGGCAGCGGGCCGCCCTGGCGGGGTGCCGCGGGGGGCCGGGGGCGCGGCTACCATAAAGGGCCGGGGCGGGGCGGTGGGGGCAGATGGCACTGCGGTAGCGGGCGGCCGAATGCGGCACAAGGGAGCGGTGGCGGCGTCGGGCGGGAGCGGCTCCTCCATCTATTCCTCGCTGCCGCCGGCTCCTGAGCGAGCCTCCCCGGCCGGCGGCGGGGCCGGGCCCGGCATGGAGTTCCCCGGGGAGCTGGGTAAGTGCCGCGGCGGGGCGGAGCGCCGTGCCGGTGACCTTGGGCGCGTGGGGGCTCCTGCGCCGGCTGTGCCGGCGGTGCCGTGCCGTGCCGTGCCGCGCCGCCGGGCGGGAGGCCAGGTCTCGGCGCCGTGCTGATGGCGTGCGTTTGTTAGACATTCATGTCCGTTACGCTTCTGATCAGTAATTGCTGTTTTAAATAACCGTGTTTAAATAACATCGTGTTTGATGCAACGCGTTTCAGGGGAAATAGCTTCCTCTTTCGCAGAGGTGGTGAGCTGAGCGGCAGCTCGTGCTGCCTGTCTGATGGAGGGCTGTAGGACACGAGCGCACCGCCGCTCACTCGGTGCCACCCGCACCCATCCCGCGGCACAGGCACGGCGAGGTGCCGCCCCCCTGATGCTCTCCCCGGCAAAAGGTGCTCCTTAGGCGGTGGGATGCTGGGTGTAGGAGCCCTAATTTGTTTCCAGCCGGGATGTTGCGGTTTGCATGAGGTGCCGCACAACCGTTTTGGGTCTGTTAAACCCCTTCCAATACCATGAGCCTGCAGCGATGTGGCTGACCCTTCCCGAGCGCTCTGTGCCCTGGACTTTCCTTTGCTTGAGTGAAGAACGGGAGACTGGCTTTTGTAAGAAAGGAAAACGCAAACACAACAAAAACCCAGCACTGGCCTCCACAGAAGACTGTGCTTATGTTACTGTCGCGATTTGAGATAGGATTTCTTGTGCAATGCACTTAATACTGCATTTTTGTTTCTGATGACGATTTTTCAAGAAAAAGTTCGCTCATACTGAGATATAGTTGGTCAGTCCATGATAAACCCTCAGGCATGGGGTTTATCCTCTCCCAGCTAGTACTGAAAATAGGATAGTTGCTGATTTCACAGCAGTAACTTTCCGGACTTCACTCAGATCCTTAATGTGCTTACTATGGTTGAATTACTCAGTGAAAATATTTGTTTTACTTTGGTTGAAGTGGCCCAAAAGGTCCCTGTTGCTGGCAGCTGGATGTCAGTCACTGCTGCTGACAATTGTGCTCATTGAGGTCAGTGGAAAGACTCCTATGACTTCGTTGAGGTTTGAAATTGAGAAACTGAATCTAAGTTGGGATACTTCCAAGACATCCTGGTGCATTGTCATCGAATCGTTCAGCTGAGCATGTATGCATTTTTGTTTGTTATGTAGCATTACTTAATGTAGGAAGTCTGAATACTAATTGCCAAATTGCGTAGCAAGAAAGAAGACTGCATTGAGTCAGATCCATAGTTCATTCATTCTGGAGTTTTCCCACTGTTTAAAAAAAACAACCAAACAAAAAAAAAAGGAATGGAAAATAATGTAGGTGATCACTAAATTGTTGTGTTTCAGTCCAGCGCTTCTCTCATCACCTCTTAATACTGTGTTTGTTTTTGAAATAAAAGGGAAAGTGTTTTCAAAGCAACTGTGAAAACAGGTGGACATTAATTAGAATCTTTTAGATTGATGACAACAGTATCACATGTCAAAAGGATCGCATATCAACAGATGAAACTTGTGGCATGCCTTTGGAAATACTGCAGTGGGCCTGCTGATGAGTTGTGCCTTGAGTGGTTAGCAACTGCCATGCCCCTGTGGGTATTCAGCATGCATCTTGTCATTGGAATGAATGCCATCTTATAAAACAAGTCTTCATTCTTGTGACCAAACAGGATTCTGCAGTGCCAGTTTTGAACCCAAGTTTCACATTTTGGGAGTGCTTGGATTGGTTTGTTGTGACATCTTCATTGCTATTTTTAACTTATGTGATTAGAGTTGAGTCTTCTTTGTTACAAACTCCAGCGCACTGAAGGCATTCAGAAAGCTGTACAGCATGTAACAATCAGTGCTGGACAGCGGCTTGCAAGAACTGTGTATCTTTTCCTGTCCAGAATACTAGCAGATGTCAGAACTGGCTCAGCATACTGGAATGAGATACAAGTAAGGTTTTGAAACTATAGAAGAAACCCTAAAGGTGTTATTTTCAATAGCTCTGGTCTAACAAAATGGAAATACTTTGTTACAAAAGGCTACATAAGTAAAAAATGAAAAGACTAAACCGGTCTGTTATATAAATGCCAAGAGGAATTTAACTCTGTATCCTCTCTGCTTCCCGCGTGCAGCTCAAAAACAGAGTATGAGTCACTGGAAGCAAAATGAACAAAGAAAACTAGAGTTAACAGCAGCATTTTCACTCCTGTTGCACAGCCAACAGCAGCACCACAACTTCTCTGTGGAAAGAATGGGGTGAGGTAGAAATGTGCAGCATTCTTTGCTAACTTGCCTGTGGCGCTGCAATTGCTTTGAAGGCACTGAGCAGCAGAGGAGCAGTAGATGAGATTTCCGAGTTCACTGCAAGTACATCCATACAGCTCAGTGTGCACTGTCTTGCAAGTAAGTCTCTTTGATTATGCAAGTGAATGGAATCTACTGGCAAATCTGTAGGAATTTTTATGATGCAAGATAACACCATGTGCTAAAGAATGAATGCTTGCAGTAAACCTTGTACCCTTGCCTTTTGTGAGGTAGTTAAAAGCAGCCTAGAAGACTTAAGTTTTAACACTCACAGCTTCTACGCGTCAGCGAAGAACTGTTTCACATTCAATCTCATACATAGGTCTACCATTAGTTTTATTGTTACCACAGAATGTTCCTTGGACTGCCTTACTGTCCTTCAGGAGTTTTATACTTCCAACTGAACTGGCACCTTAGAAAGCATACCTTAGAAACGTATTAGAAAGGAAAAAACAAACAGCCACAACAAAACATTTCAGTGAGTACAGTTGGAAGTTGTGAATGTATGGTTTATCATGGCCATGCAAGAAAAAATACTCAGTGGATTCCTGTAATTGCTGCATATTGCACAGTGGTTTAAATTCTGCATAGCCATTCTACTTCGTTCTGCTTATGAAGACAAGGCTCCCAGGAGTTCTAGTAGTGGCCTTCCAGTACTTACAGTGGCTCTACAGAGGTAGATGAGGAGGGACTCTACCAGGGAGAGCAGTGACAGGAGAAGGAGTAAGAGTTCTAAACTAAAAGAGGGTAGGTTTAGGTTAAGGAAGAAGAAAAAAATTCCGTGACGAAGATGGCGAGGCGTTGGCGCAGCTGCTCAGAGGAGCTGTGGCTGCCCTGTCCCTGGAGGTGCTCAGGGCTGGGTTGGATGCAGCCTTGGGCAGCCCTACCTGGTGGGGGGCAGCCAGCCCGCAGCTGAGGGCTGCGACTGTAAGGTCCCTTCCAACCCAAGCCATCTGATGACCTTATCATTTTTTGCTGTAAGCTTTTAATTTCAATTGGAATGCTAAAAAAAAAAAAAAAGTATTTCTTATTTCTACTTACAAGTTACTTAAAAATATAACTTTGTCAAATGTTTTCCTTATTAGCTGAGATGCCCAGACAGTTCCCAAAGCTGAACATATCTGAAGTTGATGAGCAAGTGCGACTTCTAGCTGAGAAGGTATTTGCTAAAGTTCTCCGAGAAGAAGACAGCAAGGATGCCTTGTCACTATTCACTGTGCCTGAAGACTGCCCTATTGGGCAGAAAGAGGCCAAGGAAAGGGAACTTCAGAAGGAACTGGCAGAACAACAGTCTGTGGAAACAGCAAAAAGGTTTGTTCAGTAGCTTTCTTAGAGGGAAATAGTTTTTAAATGAGCTTGAGTTTATTTTGAAATGTCTGGCAAACAACATTCTGTCTGTTGGTACTTTTTCACCCATCTCCTGAGGTAACAAGGGCACCTGTGTGATATCTTGTGCAATGCAGGTGGTGTGGGGTTGCTCCTAGGGAGTTTGGACTG